AGCCGGCCTCTCTCCCCAGCGGCAGAGGGAGTTCCAGGGAGAGGAGGCAGCCAAACTTTCTCCCCAGCAGCAGGTGGAGCATCTGCAAAAAGGTGCAGCAGATACTTGTTTCCAGTGGCAGTCTTTGTCCCAGGGAGGGGAGGCAGCCATTCTCACTCCCCAGCGGCAGACCATGGTGCAGGGAGATGTAGGGGCCCTCAACACCCCCCAGCGGCAGTTTGTTTTCAGGAAATCAGATGCCGGACATGTCAATTTGTCTTGTCCGACTAACACAGGTCCAGACCAGTTGGGGGTCTGGTATCTGGTTAGTCTACTGTCGGGAGGGGAGAAACCGCCACTGGGGCTGCTGGAGGAGCCTGAGGGCTAGCCTCCTTCCTAGAGACTATGGACCAATCCCTATTTGCCCTGTTTCGAGTCCTCATGTGCATGGCCGAGAGGACCTAGGTGAGGACTGGAGGATAGTTTGCAGTTGACCAATAGGTCGGTTGGGCCACCTTCAAACTGTTGTTTTATATAAGTGTGTGTGTGCATCCAATAAAGCAGATTCCTGTTTGAACTTACATACAGCCTGCCTGGTGTTTGTTCTGAGCTATTACCACTGGATACGAACAGCACATAGCTGAAGTTCGAATCCCAAATTATCGGATGTCCGAAATATCAGACGCTGCGGTCTGAAATCTAAGGAGTGCCGGGAGAGTGGAACCGAGCGAGCAAGGGGCTCGTTACAACATACCAGTGTGTTAAATCACTAGGGGTCAAAAACCATTCAGCTATTCAGCCTATATAAACTCATTCATGAACAGGCAAACATTTGCTAATATAAATAAGAAATGAAGCCTCGCCATTAGTTTCTATCAATTGCTTTTATTGTTTCTGTTTTACCTTTAGAATCACCCCAATGGATGCTTTATTCAGGGGCATCCCGAGGCTGGGTGACACCCGGAGCGGTAACCGAGTGTCACCCCGCCGAGACGTCACCACGCATGCTGATGATGATCTCTGACCCTTCTTTTTCTTTCCCTCTTCCCTTCCTACTTTTTCTTTGATTTTTGCCTTTTATTTATCTTTTTCTTAATGTTCTGTTGTCAAAGTTGTTGGGTTTGGGGACAATTAGGGTGGCTAGCTCCATATTTTATATGGAGGACATCATCAGTGCCAAGCCAGAGGTCAGATGCCAAAGCGGATAGTCAGCCGAACCAGGTCACTGAACACTGAGAGCAGGATTGAGGAAAACAATAGCTGGAGTCAGGAACCAGGAGATCAGTCAGCCATAGCCAGGGTCATACACAGAGAACAGGAACACTTTTTCTTTGATTTTTGCCTTTTATTTATCTTTTTCTTAATGTTCTGTTGTCAAAGTTGTTGGGTTTGGGGACAATTGGGGTGGCTAGCTCCATATTTTATATGGAGGACATCATCAGTGCCAAGCCAGAGGTCAGATGCCAAAGCGGATAGTCAGCCGAACCAGGTCACTGAACACTGAGAGCAGGATTGAGGAAAACAATAGCTGGAGTCAGGAACCAGGAGATCAGTCAGCCATAGCCAGGGTCATACACAGAGAACAGGAACAGCAGCAGAGCACTTGGTAGAGCAAAACACACGCAAGGATGGGGACTAAATGGACAAGCTGATTGTTTAAATAGTGAACTTATGTTGCATCATCACACTGAGACAGGGATTTGCAAGGAGTTTTTCCACACTTGCAGAATGATTATGTTTACGGGTTTGGTCATAAGAGGGTGCCAAAGACGAATGAGCAGTATCAGACACACTTCAACAAAAGACAGACTGCAGCCAAGTGGACATGGAAGGGTAGGAAACCCAGACAATTAGTGATATTGTTATACGCGTGAACTATGGTAATTGGTCATGTGCATGTCTGGATCAGTGATTTCTGTATGTGCGATCAAACCTAATATTTTCTTATTTCTGTATGTTTGTGGAAATGACATTGCTTTATACCGCCTGTTTTTTTTTTTACTGTAAACACAAACATTATTGCAAACTAAAAAATGTACTCAAAACATACAAAGTAAATGAATGCATAAGTAGTATTTTACATATTTTATTTCTTTCTCAGTTGGATATGTTAGAACAAGTAGGAGAAACATTCAGTGGGATGGCTCGTTGTCCTTATGATCCAAAACATGGAAATGTTGCTCTGTTTGCAGGTAAGCACTGTTACAAATATCACCTGTTTTGAATCCTGCCTAATTTACATTTAACGTTTTAGGATATAAATCAATAAATACATCATATAAAAAGTATTTATGCTTTATGGCAAATTAATGTGAATTTGCTGCTGTAAAAAATGTAATGTACAGAATAATCCCATCAGTGCCAGATTCAACACATTTTAGGGGTATAAGAGCAATCAACTTCCATGAGTTGGCAGCATCTTAACAGTCAGGGTAACTGGAGATCTAATAGAGAGGGAACACAAACACCCTTGTTCTACACAAGGGAGGCACACTGTGTTTGTGTTACCTGTGCATAAAAAAATCTGCCCTTTGCTATAATTTTATTTATCTTTTTCTTAATGTTCTGTTGTCAAAGTTGTTGGGTTTGGGGACAATTGGGGTGGCTAGCTCCATATTTTATATGGAGGACATCATCAGTGCCAAGCCAGAGGTCAGATGCCAAAGCGGATAGTCAGCCGAACCAGGTCACTGAACACTGAGAGCAGGATTGAGGAAAACAATAGCTGGAGTCAGGAACCAGGAGATCAGTCAGCCATAGCCAGGGTCATACACAGAGAACAGGAACAGCAGCAGAGCACTTGGTAGAGCAAAACACACGCAAGGATGGGGACTAAATGGACAAGCTGATTGTTTAAATAGTGAACTTATGTTGCATCATCACACTGAGACAGGGATTTGCAAGGAGTTTTTCCACACTTGCAGAATGATTATGTTTACGGGTTTGGTCATAAGAGGGTGCCAAAGACGAATGAGCAGTATCAGACACACTTCAACAAAAGACAGACTGCAGCCAAGTGGACATGGAAGGGTAGGAAACCCAGACAATTAGTGATATTGTTATACGCGTGAACTATGGTAATTGGTCATGTGCATGTCTGGATCAGTGATTTCTGTATGTGCGATCAAACCTAATATTTTCTTATTTCTGTATGTTTGTGGAAATGACATTGCTTTATACCGCCTGTTTTTTTTTTTACTGTAAACACAAACATTATTGCAAACTAAAAAATGTACTCAAAACATACAAAGTAAATGAATGCATAAGTAGTATTTTACATATTTTATTTCTTTCTCAGTTGGATATGTTAGAACAAGTAGGAGAAACATTCAGTGGGATGGCTCGTTGTCCTTATGATCCAAAACATGGAAATGTTGCTCTGTTTGCAGGTAAGCACTGTTACAAATATCACCTGTTTTGAATCCTGCCTAATTTACATTTAACGTTTTAGGATATAAATCAATAAATACATCATATAAAAAGTATTTATGCTTTATGGCAAATTAATGTGAATTTGCTGCTGTAAAAAATGTAATGTACAGAATAATCCCATCAGTGCCAGATTCAACACATTTTAGGGGTATAAGAGCAATCAACTTCCATGAGTTGGCAGCATCTTAACAGTCAGGGTAACTGGAGATCTAATAGAGAGGGAACACAAACACCCTTGTTCTACACAAGGGAGGCACACTGTGTTTGTGTTACCTGTGCATAAAAAAATCTGCCCTTAGCTCTAAAAATATTCTATATATTCACACACACACACACACACACACACTGTACATATACATTTGGGATGCAGCGATGCTAAGCGCGGATAGCTGCACTTTAAATTTTTAAACACAAGCGGCTACCGTAAGGGCCAGTCCTTGCTGTGGACCTCACGGCAGCCATGTGGGGACCTCACGGCACCCATTTACAGTGCTGGCCGGCTTAACATCTCCTCCTTCCTGCCGACCGCACCTGCCCGCACAGCCCTGGTGAGACCCTGCCCGCACAGCCCTGGTGAGCAACATAGAGTATGTAGCTTCATATTATTCTGAATTGCTGTATAGTGTATTGCTGGGATTTGTAGTCCTCTTTAGCTGATGGTATTCTGCATTGCTACATAATGTATTGTTGGGATTTGTAGTCCCTCTACAACCTGGAGTCAGTGGCAGAATCACCAGGGTCATAGCGGTTGCAGCTGCGTCCGGGCCATGGTGCTCCACCACTGTTCTAAAATCATTAGTCTGGATTGTTTTAGAAAAACTAATAATAATAATAATAAGCATTTAGTGACATAGTATTTATATAGCGCCAACATTTCATGCAGCGCTTTACAATATAAGGAGGACATTACAATCGCAATTCAAGACAAGAAGGTAAGGAGGACCTTGCCCCTTACAATCTAAAATAAAAAAAAATTAAAAAGGTATCGGTAATTGGTATCTGTAAGTGCTTGGACAAGTATTGTTACTCATACTCGGTCTTGAAAAAATGGTATCGGTGCAACCCTAATATATATATGTACAGTATGTAAATATAATAATTAGGTTTGCAGGGTTGTGGGGCAGGATTAAAAAAGTATAGTTTCCCTATCTGCCCACTGCATGTTGCTACAGATGAAAGGTAAGTGTTTGTAACACTCATTGTCACTTTAGTGAGTGTGGTGAGCGTGTTTAATGCCAGTTTTGTCCCCTAGCATACATATGTTTTATAAATTACTTTGTATTGTATTTGTAAAGTAATGGTGATGCCATTGCAATGTTTGGAAAAGCTTCTGCTGCCTATTAAGCTTGCAATCTTTTGCAACCTGTCGCTTGTTTTGAATCTTTGTAAGCTTTATTTCCTTTTTACATATTTTATTATATTCTTTGTAGCTTTCAAATGACGACAGTGTTCTTTCATTTTTATATTGTTTAAACACCCTTTTCTTATTGTTTGTGGCTTTTTTAACATTGGATGTCAGCCACATGGGTTTTACTCTTAGCCTTTTAAACTTATTGCTTACTGGAATATATTTTGCCGTATGGTTGCAAACAATTGTTTTGAAGCATTCCCATTTTTGTTCAGTGTTTTTCGATGAAAGTATTCCCTCCCACACTAAGTCTTTAAGAGCAGCCCTCATCATGGGAAAATTTGCTCTCCTGAAGTTAAAGTGTTTTTATTTTTCCAGTATGTGAATGTTGTTTACAACTTAAGCTAAATGAAATCATATGGTCACTGCTGCCCAGATGTTCTTTTATATGAATATTTGTAATAAGCTCAGCATTGTTTAAGATTACCAGATCCAGCAGAGTATTATTTCTAGTTGGGGCTTCTACAAACTGTACCATAAAATTATCATGTAATAAGTTTATAAATGTCTGGCCTTTTACTGTTCCAGCAGTGCAATTATGCCAGTCAATGTCAGGATAATTAAAATCTCCCAGTAATACTACTGTCCCCGCCCTTGCAGCCCTTTCTATTTGTTTAAGGAGCTGAATCTCTATCTCTTCAGTAACGCTGGGGGGCCTGTAACAAACTCCAACAATTACCTTTGCGTTATGCATACCAGTATACAACTCCACCCATAACGCCTCAGCACCATCACCCTCACCATCAACAAAGTCCTCTTTCACACTCACTTTAAGATCACTCCTCACATAGAGACAAACCCCGCCACCTTTTCGTTTTACCCTGTCTCTTCGAAAGAGAGTATAGCCAGGAATATTAACAGCCCAATCATGCACCAAAGCTTCCAGTTCTCCCATTTTGCTGTGCAGACTTCTGGCATTGGCGAACAAACAATTCAAGCCATTTTTACATTTTATACTTGTAATTGATGTATATTTTGCTGTAGTACAATCAGTACCATCATCTCCAATGTTTGTGTGCAACATGGGAATTTCCTTATCTAGTTTGATTTCCCTCCCCCCATCTTCCCCTGCTCCCCCCATCTTCCCCTGCTCCACCCTCCATCATAGCCCAACCCCTGTTTGACATATATGCCCCATTATATTCCATATATCCCTCCCCCTTGATCCTAGTTTAAATACTCCTCCAACCCTCCCATGAACCTCTCCCCTAGCACAGCAGCCTTCCTTCCATTTAGGTGCAGACCATCTTTATCATATAGGTTGTACCCCAATGAAAAGTCGGCCCAGTGCTCTAGAAACCCAATGCCTTCCCTCCTACACCAAGTCTTCAGCCATGCATTTAGTTCTCTAAGCTTCCGCTGTCTGTCCTGCGTTGCGCATGGCACAGGCAATATTCCAGAGAATATTACCTTGGAGGTCCTTCCTTTCAGCTTGCAACCTAGTTCTTTAAATTGATTTTTAAAGGATCCTCCATCTTCCATATATTCTGTAATTTGTCCCAACATGGACCAAGACAGCTTGGTCATGCCCAGTCCCTCCCAGTAATTTGTCCACCACATGCCGAACCATGGCACCAGGGAGACAGCAAAGCATCCGGTTGAGGCGATCCGGGCGACAAACTATTCTATCAGTCCTCCGAATTATAGAATCCCCTACTACCACAACCTGTCTAGGCCTTCCTGCAATACCCTCACCACCCGAACTAGACGTGCTGCTCTCCTGGCTGTTAGGGGTAGCAGTGACATCTAGGGCTGCCAATTCTGAGTCTGAGACCCGCACATCTTCACCCAACTTAGCAAATTTGTTTGGGTGCACAAACACAGGATTGGCCTTCCTCTTCTGTGAGCCCCTGTCACTCCCTCTAGCTACAGTAACCCTGCTTCCTACCTGATCATCCTCACTTACCCCTCCACCCTCTACATCAACCCCATTAAGGCAGCCGTACAGAGGGCAGCCGTACAGAGCCGAAGTACGGCTGATTTCAGCCGATTTACGGCTGAAATCAGCCCTACTGAGCTGGAGTGAATAGCCGAACCTCATTCAGCTCTGTTCTCTTCGGCTGGGTTATTCACTCGGCTACCTTCGGCAGCTTTGTGAATAACCCTGACAGTATATCATTTTGGCAAGGAGCCGCCAAGGCATGTGGAGAGTGTGCGGAGAGACCGGTCCATAGGAAGATAGAGGACCAAGCACAGCAAAATGTAGAAGATGAATATTCCTGGCAGTTTCCCCTTAGGGGGGAAGCAAGGGAAAGGAGAAGCAGGTTTAGAAGGGACTACAAGCATTCAGGACTCTGGGCAAACCCCTCAACAACTCTGGGCTTCACCTCAATGACTCATCTATCGTGTTGGTAGCTGTTGTGTCTTTTTATAAGGATTATGCCATCACCAGAATGTGGAATACAGAAGCATGTAAGATATTGTACAGGATTAACTTCAAGTAAAGTATTGAAAAGACTGTATCTTCTAACCTCAAGATGATGATTATTATAATCATTACACAGGATTTGTATAGCGCCAACAGTTTTGCAGCGCTTTACAATATATTGAAGACATTATTCAATATATTGTAATTCAAGACAAGATGGTAGGGAGGGCACTCCCCGTAAGGGCTTACAATCTAAGAGGGAGGGGAAAGTGATACAGGAGGAGGTAGCCTTGTGGGGATGAATTGTTTGAGAAAGAGTTTAGTGGTTAGTTTGAAGTGTGATAGGCTTCCCTAAAGACATGGGTCTTTAGTGATCGCCGAGAGGCAGTCAGAGTGGGAGATAGACAGACAGGTTGGGGTAAGGAGTTCCAAAGAATGGGAGAGACTCTAGAGAAGTCGTGGAGGCGAGCATGGGAGGAGATGATGAGGGAGCTAGAGAGCAGGAGGTCTTGGGAGGAGCGGAAGGGATGGTTAGGGTGATACTTTGAGACAAGGTTTGCGATATAGCCTGGGACAGAGTTCTGGATGGCTTTGTAAGTGTTTGTTAATACTTTTAATTTTATTCTTTGCACCTAACTGATCACAGCTAGCGCTGTTTACAGTAATCAGTTAGGTGCAGTATGATCAGTTAGTTAACTGACGGCACAACTGTTTTTACCATCACTAATCTCAGTTGGTGCCACCGACTGTGGGGCTGAAGTGGTTAATGCCTGTTGATCCAAAACAAGAACAGTTACTGCAGGCAAAATACAATCAATCAATCAAATCAATACAATAATGCTGGACATTTTTGCGTGCTAACCACTTATAGGGGTCAAGGTATTATTGTCAAGAACTGCCTTTTGCATTTAAATGCAGCACTGCTCAAATTCATGTGTTCCAATGCAAAACTCCATGAAAGGCTGGGTTTGATCTGCTTAGCTTGCAATGCAAACACATCCCAATAGAACCTGCTGGGTCCAAAGAAAGCAACACAAAACAGGTCATGTACACCCTCAAGACTGTCATCCACACTGCACCATTAAAGTAAATGGGCATCTGGTGACCTGCATTTTATGTGTGCTTCATGACATGACAAAATCATAGATTCATCTATTTACATAAGCCCTGAAATGTATTAA